TCAGTGCTTATTCGATCAAATATGCATCAATACAATTGAAACCAATCTAGGCTCTGATACCACTGTTGGGTTTTGGTCATAAGACATCCTATGTGCTCATACAAACCCTAATGCTTGGATCTAGGTTTCTCTATTGTACATGCTTTGAATCCAAGACTATAAACCCTAATTCTAGCATACAATAATCATATTAACATGAATAGTTTAAGTTACCTTGATTGTTATGTAGCAATAACAATCCCAATCTCCTTGTATTGACTTTGGAATGCTTAGAGTCACAAGTGTCACTCCTCTAATGGCTCACAAACACCATAAGCAATGGAGAAGGTATAAAGAGAGAAGTGAGAGGTTAGAATTCGTATCTAGGACCTCTTGGGAAGGGATACACGAATTCATGGCCCTAGGGGTGTTTATATAGGTGTAGAGATAGGGTTTCAGTCATTATCCTTATCTAGTTGATTATCCATTAAGCAACCAATAAGATAATCCTTGAATCCTTATCATACTCGAATTCTAAGGGATTTACACCTCAAATTCGTTCACCATATATATAAGATAATCCTTACCTTATTTTGTAACTATCACATAATTACAATTCAGCCCCTCTAGTTTAATTAATTACATTTGATCACAAAACTAATTCTTAATTAATTATTGACCAATATTAATTAAACAAATATGATTTCTCCTTTAATATATTATTCTTATAACATATTAATAAATCATATTATCCTCTCTCTCTTTATTCATTTCTCCAATCAAGTTGCTTTGGTGAAGGCAACCCAAAAGGACCATGCACCATCGGGTCAAGTACATACCAAAATAGTTATGGACTTAGACACTAATCCAACAAAGATACCCAGGGCGGACCGGTTATTCTAAAGGCCCAGCGAGCAGTCCGGATAGGCTGTAGGCCCCACGAGGGCGGACCAGACGTGCCAAGGCTCGGAGAGTGGACCAGGCCGACTGAAGGCCCGATGCGGGCGGACCAGTCACACTGCAGACTCAGAGAGTGGACCAGGTGGGTTGAAGGCCCGATACGGGCGGACCAACCCCACTGTAGACTCGAAGGACATGACTAGACCTGGAGGATGGATCCGGTGGACTAAAGGCCCGATACGGCGGACCAGTCACACAGTAGACCCGATATGTATGGTTGTTCTATGTTCTGTTATGTTATGTATGTTTTATATATTTTGGACCGGAAGGTCGCAGCCTGGAAGGGCGTATACGTGGTTGGTATTTTGGGGGTATCTCACTAAGCTTTTGGGCTTACAGTTGTGGTTTAATGTTTTTCAGGTTCTTCAGGAGACCGTGGCAAGGAGAAGGCGCGATCGTACCGCTCCTCATGATTTTGTAGCAATATGATTCTGGGGATACTCTAAATGATTTGTATTGAAAACCTTTTTGTGAACAATTTAATGAAATAAGGTTGTTTTGGAAAAATTTAAATTGGTTGTATTTTTCGGTCGTTACACACTTTCCAACTCTTCGAGTCATCGGGGTGACTCGTCGAGTTCCTTAGATTCTCGATCAAACTTTAAGGCCATCCGTTGAGTTTCCTCCTTGCAACTTGACGGATACACACGCATACATATCCTGTAGAAAACTCATCCGACTCGCCGAGTTGTTCTTCAACTTGTCGAGTTTATGGCAATCTTCATCGGACTCGCCGAGTTGTTCATCCAACTCGTCGAGTTCACAACCATTTTCATGTGATTCGCTGAGTCCATTCAATCCTTTTTCCATACAGACCTACTTTGAGCCATGCAGCGACTCCAACTCACAGATCCAAGCTTCTAGGGCATGCTTATCACGTAAAGTTGCAAACTTTACGTGCATGCATGGCTTTAAAGGCTCCAAATGCCAAATATAAGCTCTTAATGGGGCTTCATGCTTAAAAGGGAGCTCAATCATGATCAAAGCTGTAACTTTATGCTTCTAGAGTCCGAAGAGGGTCCAGATCTGAAGTTACAACTTCAGATCTAGACCATAGCTCATCATACCAACTTGATATTCCAAGAAAAACCCTAAAACTCAACCAATGGAAGAGATCTACAAGAAAGATGGTGATTTAGGTACCTCTGGAAGATGATTTCTGAGATGAGTGTCGACTCCCACACTCTAATGCTCCAATCTCCTTCTCCTCCAACCCTTCTCCTTCCAAAGATCCTCTTTCAAGCTTCAAACACACACAAGGCACACACACACACACACGAATAAGGGCTCTCAAGGACTCTTTTAGAACTGTAAAGAGGTCCAAGGGAGGCTAAGGTCCCTTTAAATAGGGGTACAAACCCCTAGATTTAGGGTTTCATCTGTCAGCTCCTACTCGCCGAGTCCCAATATTGACTCGTCGAGTAGGCCACTTAACATGCAATCCCACCCCACTGCTACTCGACGAGTAGGGCAACCAACTCGTCGAGTAGGGCTTAACCCAATAAATCTCATCTAAAACAATACCTGAGAATCGGGGCGTTACAGATTTATAATTGAAAACACATGGATTAGAAGGACAGATTATCTTCGTGATGAGACTACCAATCAAGTTTTTTAAGGCGGACTCAACCCCGCAAAGTGGGGTTCTTCCCTAGTTACTATTTAATTTCATATGAAGTAGAAACTGGGATGAAATTTAAATTAAGATTTTACGATAAAATTGATTTTCATCAATTTTAAGTTGGTGGTCTCGTTGCTTGAGAATCCATGGAGACATCAACATTATTTATTATGCCAAATCCCATGCAATGTGTCTCGAACAGTTCTCATCGGGTGGCATAATTTAGCTGGTCAAGATGAAGGATAAAGGGAATGAAAGCTTTGATTTTGGTTTATACCGTATGGTTTTCTAGAGAGTGGAAGGGTTGGAGAGACCATCTTCGTTGTCCATGGTGATGATTGATAATCAAAAGAATATAGGAAGGAAGTGTAGAGAGAGAGATATATGTAGTTTGCTCTAATACCGCATGGAACAATATTTTTCCCATAAACTAGATATATTAATGGTAATTATATACAAATTACAATGGGCTATGGCTACCAAAGTGGGTAACAATATACGTACATACATATCTCCATACACTAACAATTATTTGGGTATGCATCGCTTCTTTTTCATAGAATTAAACAATAGCAAAGAGGAAGACACTATGTGTGAGAAAAAAGAAAGGAGGGCTAAAAACTTCATGCACCTATACAAAAAAAATGTGTTTGATCAATCGAATGATCAAACCACATTAACTTATAGTTCAATTTTAATTTTATACTTTTTCTATATTTTTTTTCCACCACAAAACCACCAAGCCAAAAGATAGCTTTGATATACGTTTATATCCAAATTTTTTTATTTGTTGGTATATATATATATATATATATATATATATATATATATATATATATATATATATATATATATATATATATATATATATATATATATATATATATATATATATATACTAGTCGTCTACCTGCACAAAACGAAGGGTGCGAATAATTTCTTTAAGAAATTAATTTCTAGAGGCGGTTAGTGTTTTTGTGCAAATAGTTTACTACATCTAAACAATATCAATAAGGGTCATGTTAGCAGAAACGAAATCAATAAGAATTAAAACATGTAAAGTTGGATTCTTTACAAATATACATGAACTCATTTGATGCATAAACTTCACTGTCGTTGAATTGTTCGTCAAGTTTTACTAATATTTTTGTATTATCACGTGATATCCCTCTGATAATTCCAAATAGATAAATTTTTCCAAGGATTCCTCAATATTCGTCTGAAGATGACATATTCTCATTCAATCTAAAGAGAAAACAATTTCCAATGTTGTTATCTTTCGCGATGGCAATCAATAAAGTTCAGGGACAAACAATTTCAAATGTAGGTATATATCTTCCAGAATTGGTTTTCCACCTCAATGACATTGAGCTGAAAACTTTTGCATGTCAATCTAGTGCTATTACACAATCCATTTAAAAGGTTCAATATTTCGTAACAATATTATTGGGCATCCGACTTTTTACCGAAGGTAGTGATGGGATAACCCACTAACAGTGAATGAATTTAAGAATTCCATCAGATAGAAGTTATTTCTATCATTTTCTGCTTCATCAAAACTATAATAATTTTCTCTTCTCCATCGAATCATTTGATTAAATAATCATTAATCTCATCGATACTTTATTTTTGGTGGATAAATTGTGCACGATTAATGGACAACAAATAGTTTCCTTCAACATATAATTTCTTTCACCAATTTGTTTATTTTTTGTTAACAGACAATATTTTGTAACCTAGAAATTTGAATGTGACATTATGTAAGCAGTTTTCAATGTTTAGAGCATTTAGTTATTGATAAAAAAAATACGATTCATGAAAGTGATTTATTAATACAAACATTTGGTCTTCTTAGTTGAAGCATTTGATCTTATACATATTTATTTGTTTAGCAACAAAAAAACAAAAAAACATAATGGATTCATGTCAAGTTTGTTATCTAGTTTTATAGACATAAAATTATTGATATTATCAAACATATTATCTCTATTTTTTTCAATTCATAATGATAAAATTTGATAAACATGTTATCTCGATTTTATTAATATAAGAATGTATGTTAAATTGATAAAATTATATATTCCAGTTTCACTGATTAAGTATTATTAATGATTTTTTTTTAAAATTTTTATTTACTAAAAATAATATGAATAAATATTATTTTTTTACATTTTAACTTGAATAAATTAAAATTTTAAAATCAACTCACTAACATTTATTTTCACAAAACCTAACCACTTGTAGGTTGTAGAAGTGGAAAGTTTTATATTGTAACATAAAAATCTAAAGTTTTTTTAATAATATTTTACTAACCAACTCAAATAATATAAATAAATACATTATGTTTAGTTAGTATTCAAACACGTAATCCAAATTGACCCTTTCAACATCAATGAGTTATAAATGGCATTAAAGTAACATATAGTCGTGCATTTGTAAACTCCAGGGTCGGCCTTACATTGATTGAAAGTAAGCAAGGGCTTAAGGGGCCCCACTTAACCCAAATGTCGATTAATTAAGGGGATTATCTATTCTGGATTGAATGACACGTACAGTCGCACACCACAATTTTGATTTTAACTAAGCATTGGCTCTGCCAACGACTGTTCTTCTTCTCGTCTTTAAAGTCTGATCGATTCTTCAATCTGGTTTGTTCAAAAATCAAAAAATCAATTCTTGAATCTTGATTGTTCAAAAATCGATTCTTGTTTCAGAAAGGCTGTCAAGTGTGAAGAAACGGTATGTTCTTCCTCTGATTCTCTATCTCTCCATAACTGATAACCAATAACTCTATTGCTGATTCGTCATTCTCGATTAGAATATCTATTAGGATTAGGCTTATTCTTTTTAATATTCACTATGTCAAGTTGGATTTTGGAACTAGGTTTGGGCTTTGGATATTGGAATCAGGTTTGAACATTAGATATTGGAACAATTTTGGTTAATTGGTTAGAACTAATTTTAGTTGCCAAGTTGAAATTTCATATTTCCATTTCAGTTTTCTCAAAGAGAAAGGAATTCCCTTTGGTCCTGATGTCTGTCATGAGTATCTCCTTCATTATCTTTGACAATCTGTAATTTGTAATTTGTAATTTGTTGTATAATTATTTGTTTGAACACTTTTAGTTAATGCTATATTTATTTGTCTTTTCTAAGTTCTAACAACATGTTTAATATATGGGAGGGTTTATAACATTCGGTATAGTAAAGACCAAAGAGCCCCAAATTTTTTGTTTGCTTAGAGCCACCAAACTAGTTGAGCCGCCCCTGGTAAAATCCAAATATTGGTTAGGATTCTACAAATCTAAAACCACAAATAATCCTAGCTTTCATATTGTTTTTCTTGATTATGTAGGTTATAAAACTAAATGAGTGGCTTAGAGCATATCGTTATACATGTAAAAAGATGCAATGAGTCTACTATGCAAATTAAGTTCCTTGCTCATTGTCAATGCAATATGTTTAAAGTTGCTCTGCAGCACAAAATATCATTACTCATAAAAGGTTTAGGTGGTGAATACATATGTAAAATAGATCTAAAACGTAATCACATAATTTGTCTCTAAAGCAAACAACTACGGGCTTGCACAAATTCATTTAAATAATAATAATAATAATTTAAAGGACATTATCCATGGTGTGTTGGAGGCTACAATTTATTCTCAGCTGACCCTTGGGTTCATGGCAACAAATTTACCCCTAGGAGACATGCAATTATCGTGTTTTTAGAGGTCGAATACTCGGTATGTAATCGGATTGTTGCACAACCAGAGACACATATAAATAGTCTGTAAGAGTAAGACGTTACTTTAGACTAACTAAACCAATCTTACTCACATATGAATACAAATTTTTGTATTTCCCGAAGAGTTTTTCATTTACTCGGGATACTTTTTAAACGTCATTTTTGTAGAAAATACTTAAAGGAGAAAGAAAAAGAAGAACCTTACTTTACAGTTAAATTTATCATTCATATAATGCACCTCTTGATATGTTGTTGGTATATATCCTGGAAACCAATACAACAATTTCAATAAAACATCCATGAAAATATATCTAGGAAAAATCAAATCACAAATACAATTTATGCCTAATGCACATTAATCACTGACCAATTTAGTAGTGCAACTACAATCAGAAGGAGAAACTTATCCCTATCATACACTTTAAGTTAATGACTTGCTTTTTTAAGGTAGCAGAATAAAAAAAAACTTGACAGTTGAACCATCATGTAGTTGGATTAAAAACATAACTGGTAATTTCCATGGTAATACAAAATTAGAAATAAAGAATGATTACCTAGACTTTTGACTTGATTTGATTGAGGTCATACAGATAGATTGGTGCAAGAGCAGAGTTTTTATGTCCAACTAAGGTGTCAGGGCAACATAATACCTAAATTGATGTCACAAAGGAAAGAACCAGATGGTATTTGAAAGAGGTATGTGCTTTGTGCTTTTCTGGAAAATTCTTCTATAATGATTAACTCATCTCCATTAACGGAATTAAAAACATAGTAAAAGCCAAACTTCCTACAAACATGGCAACTGATACAAGTTAGTTTCTGCATCTGATAATCAAATAATCTAACTATTGATACCATAAATGTAAATAATCAATAGAACAAAGAATGAGAAAACCTATAAATCAACATTCCATTTAGAAAAAAAGAATAAAAAAATAAATTCCAAACTAAATGTTATGTAAGAACTATAAATAAAAGAAAGCCGAATAAGAGAGAAGTAACATAAAATGACCAAATAAAACCCTACTGCACTTCAAGAACAAATATACCTAATTACAAGTGTAGCAAAAGGTAACAAACCTCCATAGTAGATTCGTTCATGTATTACTTTGAAATATCAGTAAGATCCCTTCCAATAGTGTATTTTTGTATATGTTTTGAATTACCCTTCTTGTCCCTGTTTCACCTTATCTCTACAAACCCAAAACAAAAAATTCACCAAAATTAACCACAAGTTAGTCAAAATGGTGGATTGAAATTAGAACACTACCATTTGCTTTTAATCCCAGCTAATAACAAGGACCAAATTAAATGGCGGTTGTACCCCTTAGATCTCCAGAAGTGTTGGAATGGAAATTTAAGGTCTTTTTTTGTAGTACCTGGATACAATTAAAAAAGATTTTTTCATGTGAACCTGATAAATACTTGAAGCATATTTTTTCATATCCCTTTGACAACATCTCCTTCTCCTCCCTCCAATTCCAGGGCCTCTTACTGTATCCACATCTCCTTCGATAAAACAAAAAGAAAAACTGAAAGATTAAATACACACACAGAAACGGTCCCTCAAACTTCCATGAAAGGAAAATGAACTTAAATGCACAAGAATAATATTTACGTAGAAAGCTCTCAGGAATGATGCCATATATTTGATAAAAAAATCAAAATTAAGAGAGAGATTAAGAGAGGAGAGAGGCGATAGAAATCTATAAATATTAAGAACTCACTTGTAAGAAATTGAGAAAAGTGAACCATGAGTTCATGATTGAGCAAACTTGTGTAGCCATGGTTAGGGATGTTATTCGGGTCGGAACCGACCCGATCCGACCCGAATAAACCGAAAACCGAATAAGGGTAATTGTATGAACCGAAAACCGAACCAATTAAGCAATACGGGTTCGGTTCGGGTATTATTCGGTTCGGTTCGGTTCCGACTCGAATAACCCAAATAACATGTACAAGATGATTAATGAATCGAATAACCCGAATATTTTGTATTACTTTTGTAACTTATGATTTCATAACAAATCTTTTAAAGAAACAAATTAAACACTAAAAATTAAACATCCAAAACACCCAAAAATCTATCTATAAGTATATAACTCGAATAACTTCATCAATATGGAATGAAACAAGTAAAAGAACATATATGGTTGTTTTCATTAAATTCTCTTATTCAAGGTCAAAATCCCCATTGCTTGGACTTATAGAAAAAAAGTTAACTGTTAACATAGCACATTCAAATTTCAATTGATAACATACATAATAACACATTTAAAGATTGAGTAGCTGATTAACACATCCAATTTTCAATGAGTAACATACATAATAATAACACATTGAAAGATTGATTAGTAAATTAACATACAAATTCTTACTTGTGTTTCTTGATTTGGAACCCAATTTTCCATGAATTGAATGGAGTAGAAACTAGAAAACAAGATGAGCAGATGATTCACAGAAGCTTGAAGTACAGAAGTCAATCAAAAACTAATGTCGAAGGAGCAATTGTCGATAAAAAAAAATGTCGGAAGGAGCAATTCGCAATCAGCAACTATCGATCAAACAAAATTGTCGCAATCATCAATATGGAAGTAGTCGACTCAATTTAGTGTAATAGGATATTCAATTTGGTGTATTAAGTGGGTAACAATCTTCGATTTGGTTTTTTTGGGATCGATTGTGATGATCACAGAACCAAATACGTAAATTGTGCAAGGGAAAAAAACGACTCTTCATATTCGGTTCGGTTCTTTGGACCGAATAAGCCCTTATTCGGGTAACCCGGACCGAATAAGCCTTATATAGATACCCGAAAACCGAATCGAATTGCTTATTCGGGTCTAATTCGGTTCGGTTCTCGGTTCGGTTCAGGTTTTCGGGCCAAATTTTCATCCCTAGCCATGGTCGATCGAAATTCCCCTGATTTCACTCCTTCCTGTAACTGTGGTGAATCATTGGCCACACCATAAACCTAAATCCATAAGAAAAAAAACCCATGAAGAAGCAGCAAGAATATAACCATTTAACAAAAGAAAAAAACATTTCTTAACCACGCACCATTAAATAGGGAGTTAGATGACGGTACCAAATCAGAAAAATAAAACCCTAAATCGAGGTGGTGCAATGTTATTCGAGAGAGATACAGAGATAGATAAGAAGGAACAAAATAGAGTGTTGTGGTTTGTTGTTAGAAGCTGGCCGAAGACAGTGAGATGATGGTGGAGGCAATAGCCGATGATAGTAGTGTAGGTGATAGTGGATGATGGTGGCTTTTCATTTGTAGAATTAAAGAGAGAGGTGGTGCGACGATATTGAAATGGAAAAGAAGAGTGGTTGTGGGGAGAGGGTTATACAAATGGCAAAGATTAACAAAGGTATAGTATTATAAGGCGGAAAAAATGCGACGTAGTGGGTAGCTTGTTAGACAGGTTGGGACCGAGTCAAGAGTCATCCGCAAAGGGGTTTTAAATGACTGGCATAGAAGATGGTTTATAAACCTCGTGTTTGATAGAATCAATAGGGTAAAAGCGAGTAATACTTATTCAATGCCTATCCTTTTCAATTGAACGGATAAGATTTAGTTTGTTTTGGTTTACGGATACGATTTATTATTTGTTAATGAATAAATTGTTTGTACATATTGCAGTAATGTTTGTACCTCTTAAAATTTGGTATTTAGGAATAAATGTTTACTAAGGTATAAAGATACGGTCTTTCATACCAGGCCATGGGTCGGTTCATTTTGCCCTGTTTTATCATCTCTAAAAGTTTTTACTTTTTATGAAACGTAAACATAATCATGATCAAGAATTTAGCCGTTTAGGATAAAAACATGTTTCTCGTTTCGGATCCCGTCGCTTTTTACAGCTTGCCATTTTTGCAAACACTTTGAAAGCAATACGTTGCCCACTTGTTGGAGTTCGATCGGGTTTAAGCTTATCTAAAAAGCAATTCCTCAAGTCACTCTCTCACCTGGTTTTATTACAGTAATTGTTGATTTATGCAACTCAATTTCTGTTCATTGATTTCAAATTGAAATCGGATGCACGACAAAGAATCGCAACTGTTATCCGGAGTTGATAGAACCAATTAAGTTGAAAAACAACCAAATCAGAATAGCATAGTTAAGCGAGTTCGAGGGTTTGACTTTGTCTTCGATGAATTTGTTAAGCACGATTTACGAAGTTTAAGGATAAATGCAAGTATAAGGAATAGATATGAACACATTTTAGTCATTCTACACCAATTTTTGGGGGAACAAGTTGTCTGTTTAGCATTTTCTTCTTTATGTGGCTTATGTTATCCATGGTTGCTGACACCAACTGGATCTCCTTGAATGGATTGTAGCTGTCTTTTTCTTTCCATAAACTTCCCTTTCATAGCTTGAAAGTAATAAACGAATTTGAAAATTTTCCCCTTTTGTTCTTTCTTGTTGTCTTACTTCTCTTAGTTAGGTTTCCAATCTAGTATATATTAATCCAACACAACACATACAATTGGTAACGTGAAGCTGTTTCTTATGCTGCCATATTGGTATCATTCCAAGCATCTTTCAATTTTAATCAATATCACCAAAATATTTTGTTTAGATGCGTATGGGTGTCGGTTTCTTTTTTTAGATATGAAAAGAGACATGCATACAATGACAGTGCTTCCAAAATCTCTAAGTGAAATAGATATTAGGTTAGGCATTTTATTTATTTGGCCTCTTTAGTTAGAGTTTTCAGTGAGTTGGTCCTTATAGTTCAGTCTTTTAATTATTTTGGAACGAAAAAAAATAGTTCTATGTATAAAATGGAAGAATGTCATATATACCCTTAATAAAGAGCTAAATATCATATTTACCCGGTCTAATATCAAATATATACCCTAATTAAACACCTAAAATATCATATTTTGCCCAAAACTTTATTTTAATCATTTTTTGTTATTTGAAATCATTTTAATCATTATAAAACTTATATTGACTATAATACCCTTTCATATCTTATGCTCTCGTTCGATTATGTTTTGGGGTGATCACATATATGAAAGAAAAAAAAAAGCCTTCACTATTTCGTTCTAACACCATGTGACCAAACTGCCAAACATCATGCTTACCTTAACTATTCACAAGCATCAAGTTCATTTGTTCTTTAATCCCATTGAAAATATCCTACTCAAGCTAACAAATGCAATGGTATGTACATCAATCTATAACCCAAAAATGAAGTAAATAAATCCTTCTTATAAAATGGTTGTGTCGCCAATTTTGTTTGCAGATATCTGATATCATGACAAAAACCCATCCATGAGGTCATAAGATCGCAAGAAAACTATAGGAACCAGACGTTGGAGCTTCAAACTCATCCATACTCTGATGTTAGTCGGAGAAGACGATGGATACATGGTTACAGTATCTACAACACTTATCCACTTAATACATCATTGCCAATAAATATGGAACTCATCTTCACTGATACCTCATAGTATTTAAGTGAACAAACTCCAATTCTAAACTTATATCTTGCTGGAGATCATTCTGTTATCGTCTGTATGCATCTCCAGTCACCGTAAACCTCTTTTTAGCTTCATATAAAACACGGATCACTCACAGCTTCTTGAAAACTACAAAAATGATCAAATCATCATTCTACCTTGACTTCATCTTCCTCATCATCCAACATTCATATCACCTTGTTGTCGGGGGTACGTAGATGGTAGGTGTTATAATAACGATAAAATAAGCACCCATTCCTTGCAGTAATGGTTGATCCTATTCATATCCTTTTGTCCTGCTTGTAGCTTCACGTAAAATGCAGTCCTTACCCCTCATCCGAGACATTATCCTAAGAGGTAAGACTCACTAGAAAAAACGAGTCACATGTTACATCTTATCTTCAGGCACCCCTTTGTGGTTGTGTAGGTTATCTTATGCAATGGAACACTATTAACTTACATTATGTATTTTTATTTGGATACCTAGAACGTAATGGCAAATGATGTCTGGAAATTTTACTTGTAACTACAGAATGAATGGTTGTTAATCTTTCATTCCCCTTTCCAATATGATTTAGATTTTACAATCAATAGTAGTCTAGATTAATAATTTAATAGCAAAACTGATTAGTCTATTTTATTCCTTTATTGTTGGGTTATAGATTGATGTACAGAACCATTACATTTGTTAGCTCCATGGGATTAAAAAGTAAATGAACACGATGATTTTGAATAGTCAAAGTAAGCATGATGTTCAGGTTGGTATGATGTTAGAACGAAACATGATGAAGGAACAAAGGTTTTCTTTTTTCCTTCTAAATACGTGATCATTCTAAAACATAGAAGAAAGATAATAAAATATGAGGTTGAGGGTATTATGGACAATGTAATTTTTGTAAATATTGAAATGATTTTAAATAACATAAAATGATTAAAAAAAGATTTAAAATAAGGTTTTGGACAAATATAATATTTTGGATATTTAATTTTAGGTATATATGATATTTTGATATTAAACAGAATAAATATGATATTTAGCTCTCTATTAAGGGCATATATGAAATTGTCACATTAATAGCTAATATGTTAGATTTAAAGTCCCAAGAACAAGAACCATTTGTGCAAGATCGTGAAACCACGGGGATGCAATTTGTCGACATTTTGAAAATTAGACGAAACTTGCTAATTTGCTAATTCGATTCGCTCCAAACCCTTTTAACAAATTTCAAAATCCGATCCAAACCCGCAGGGTTTTGAATAATCAAACTCATACCCTTATCCACCGAATCAACAAATATCCAAACCCGCCCCGTAACCCGTAGGTTTTTTGAATAATCAAACACATTTTACTTAAATCATAAAATCACATTTATTAAATAAAACTAAGTTTTGATTTAGAAAACACATTATGTACTCGAGGACTTTCTATTGGAATTAAAATCATTATTTTAGTTACTACCAATTGATTTTTAATCGTCTATTGCATTAATAGAGAATATTAATTACAAACTTTCTTTCGGTTGATAAATGACCTTATTGATTTATAAATGAAATTGGTGATTACATGATGAAATATAAATGAATTGAAATCATGACTTTTGGGAGAAGACTGGAAGTCTAGAAGTTGAGTCCTCGAATCCTATGTAAAAACAATTTAGTCTTTGGTCTTTTCTTTTTGGACTTCTGATTGGAATTTAATGTAAACTTTAGGTAATATAAAATATAAGAGTAAATTACTGAAATCGTCCCTGTGGTTTGGTCAAAATTGCACGTTTGGTCTCTAACTTTTTTTTTGCACTTGGATAGTTCCTGTGGTTTGCTTTTGTTGCGTTTTTCATCCCTATGGTTTGGTAAAAATTGCATGTTTGGTCCTTAACTTTATGTATGTAAGAGACGAAAAATGCAACAAAATCAAACCACAGGGACGAAAAACGCAACAAAATCAAACCACAGGAAGGATCCGAGTGCAAAAAAAAAAGTTAGGGACCAAACGTGCAACTTTGACCAAACCATAGGGACGATTTCAGTAATTTACTCAAAATATAAATTTACATTTCTAAAATTTATATGGGGCAGGTTATAAACGGGTCGGATCGGTGATGATCCATTCCCGACTCTTTTAATAAAAGAGTTAGCGGATACGGGTCGTTAACGGGTAAACGGATCAAAAACTATGATCCAAACCCATATAATTGTTAAGGGTTTGGATCAGATCAGGATCAAAACCCGCTCCATTGCCCGGCCTAAACAGCATTGACCAGTAAAGAAGTAAACTTTCTCCAACGCTGTAGAATTACCAAGTTGAATCTGTCAGTGTCATTTGAATTTTTTGTTTGTAGGGTTGGATTTTCCGGTTCTTAAAGAATTACCAAATGGAATTTGTCAATCTGGCCGACGTTAGTCGTAGTTTATACTTGCACATTTCTTTTTCTCTATCTGCTTACGTTATCGTGGTTCGTCGATCGCTCGAGTTCGTGTTCCATCGATCGCTCAAGTTCGTGTTCCATCGATCGATGATTTTGGTGAGATTTTCTTTCAACTGATATTTGAAAGTCTCTGATCATCTAACCCAGTATGAAAGTATGTTAATTTGTTTAGATGTTCGCCAGCAGTAGTTTGTTGTTTGGTGATTAAATATCTATCGCTTTTTTCCTTATTTGATGAATTGCATTAAAAATTGGTGCATTGTTTTACGAATTTTATGTAGGTTTCTTTTCCAATTCGATCAAGTCGTTACAAATTTGATTTAGGTTCTGAACGAAAGTTCAATTCTAGTGAAAATTGGAAATCTCTACGACAATGATGTTAGGGTTGACCTTCACTTAATCTGTTAGTAGAACTGTTGAACCATGAAATATATTGCAAAATAACATGCAGATCAGGAGATTGGACTAATTCCATTGCTCCATTTCCCCAAATCAATAAGATCTTTAGAGTACAACAGTTCAGGGGGTCAATTGAACTCTCAGAGACTCAATTGTTGAAATGTATCTCTATTTCTTCAATTAATCTGTACGCCTTTCAGGGATGGCTGTGGTACTAATGGGTGTAAGCGGTGTGGGGAAATCGTGAGTTCAAACTTTCAATCTTTCTTTAATCTTTACAATGATCTTTTTCAACCTTCTTTGTAAAAACTCAACTTTTCATTATTTATGTAGAACTATAGGAGAATTGCTTGCGAAAACTCTAAACTGTAGCTTCATTGATGCGGATGATTTTCATCCACAATCAAACAAAGGTGAGAAAAGCTCTAAAAATCTTCAATTCCATCATGTTCTTTTAGTACCAAATTCAATAACACTTTTACCAAAAAGTAAAACTAACGGTTAACCAAATGGTGTCTTAAGAAAGAGAAGATGAAGAACAGGATCCCCTTATCAGATGAAGATCGTGTCCCATGGCTTGAAGTGCTTCGGGATATATTAAATGCAAGCTTGGTGAGTGGCAAGATTGTAATTCTTGGGTGTTCTGCCCTTCAGAAAAAGTACAGGGACATTCTTAGATCTGCTGACCCGAATTTTAAGGGTGATTATTCGTGTGAAAAATGTGTTGTGAAGTTTGTGTTGTTGGATGTTGGGGTGGAGGTGCTTATGAATCGAGTGGCGAAAAGAGTGGCAGAAGGGAACCACTTTATGCCTGCTGAATTGCTTCAGTCGCAAATTGATTTACTTGAGGTTGATGCTTCTGAAGGGATACATAAAGTTGACGCTTCAAGGAGTCCTCAAGATATTGTTGATGAGATTAAAGCGTTGATATTCTGATTAACAATATTGATGTTGGTATTGGTTGTATTGCTTTAATTCTACAACACCAATTATTTACTCTAATACATGTATATTCCATTTAATCTTTTATGTTTCACTAATCAAAAAGTAACTTTGAATAATGGGGAAAATATAGCATAAATCCAAAAATCTATGTTTCTTTTGTCATAATATGAGCGACATTAGACCAGTGTAATTCTATTTTTCATCATACACCCAAAAATCTACAATACTTATTTACAAATGCATGTTTTTTATTTATTTTAAACAAAAATATGTGATTGGTTTTGTGTTTGTAAACGCATGATGAATTCAGTAAAACCATCCAAATAAAATCCAGTCCCACAATTTTGTCTTTATTTTATCTATTAACGGTGCAAGATATGCGCAATTTTTTAAAATACTGGGAACATGATCTAATACTATTACAAAAAAAAAAAAAAAAAAAAAAAATCGTGTCTGCAACATGTCAGAACGAGAGGCGTCGGCAAGTCTTTGTAAGCCACGTATTCTTGTTGTGCTACGTGGCAGCAGCCCACAACTTCACAAAACCATGAGCATATCTATTTAAAGCCTTGTTTCAACTTTCAACCTCCTCACATACCAATATCTATCCGATCATTCATAAAAACAACACCTAATATGCAGACAGCGAAGAATGCAGCAGCATCCGTCAAGGAGACAGCGGCGAACGTGGCTGCCTCCGCCAAGTCCGGCATGGAAAAGACCAAAGCCACCCTGCAAGAAAAGGTTCCCTTCATAACATTTTTGCTTCGCTTTTTAGTTCTATTGTTTCTATAATTACTAAACTCTGTAGTTTTGTATAGGGTGAGAGAATGACTGCACATGATCCAACGCAAAAGGAAATGGCGACGACGAAGAAGGAGGCGAGGAAGGATCAAGCCGAGTATGAGAAGCAGGTGGAGCGTGACCAAAACGCGGTGCAGAGACAAGCGGCAGAGGCCACCGGAACTCACTCATATTCCACCACCGGAGCTACTGGTCATCCCATGGGAAGCCACCTGATGTCGGCGTTGCCTGGACATGGAACTGGACAACCGGCTGGAGATGTGGTGGAAGGGGTGGTTGGGTCTCACCCGATTGGTAGGAACACCGGCACCGGTCAGTCTGTTGCCGGGAATAACCCAAGAACTGGTGGAGGCGCTGGCGGATATAGCACCGGAGGGGCATACCGTTGATAGACTCAGCGTGGGCTTTTGATTTGCTTTAAAATATAGTTGCGTACTCTTTTTGTGAATAAGAGATTGCAGTTTCAAGTTGGATTTGAATGTAAATCTTGTGTTTTTTCATCTGTTTGGATTATGTATTTCTGTTTTGATGTTATTAATCATGTCAAGTCGTCTTACGATATCTTACTAAAAAAAGAAAGTAGGAGCCTGGTAGCCACCAACTGGCTACTTAATGAGATAAACCCTGAGATGGATTTGGATTAGGATTTTCATTCACATAAATTTATATATCATCCTTTACCCTATTTAAGTGGTCTACAAAAAATATCGTCCTCTTTTCATTCACTATGATCTTCGTTTGTTTGATGTTTGGACATAAATGAACGAAATTTGAGTGTTTGATAAACAAAAAAAATGAATTTAAGTATTTGTTTCTTTATATGTTCCCATCTGAACAGGAACCAAAAATTCAAAATTGAAGTTATGGATACGGAGGAGAAGTGTAATTTATGGATCGATTTGGTTCCAACTTCCAATAAATATTTTGCTCACTTTTTGTCGCTCGGTGTAATTTTGAACGAAAGCATAGTGTACTTTTTTTCTGTGTTAGAATTAGAGCATGTTCTTAATTTGTGATTTTTATGAAGCATATGAGAAGCCTGTGGTTTTAATGAATCTGATGCAATTATAGTGTTTTATATGATGCTTGTCTTTTTTTTTTTAATAAAGGTGATGCAATCTTGGTTTTGATTCAATGCTTGTTTTTTAAACATACGATGGAATTTCCCTCCGGAAAGAATTAGGTCATATAGTTTGATACAATAATATCATTTTTGGTTGGAATGTTATTCCATTGGTGCTAGTGATTACAGATAATAGCAATGTACTACACAGATCAATATTTGTGCAACAATAACCTTATGTTTTTTTTTCTTTAGAGATTATGTGATTCCTAACCAAAAAAGTGTCCCATAAGAATAATTGGCATCTTCCGGTTAAGAGAATATGATTTTCCCAAGAAAGAGCATTTGACAAAGTTCTATTGGTTGATTTGAATAAGTATTAAATTTCAAGTTCTATTGAGTTTTATATACCAAGCAAATACCTCCGAATGATGGTGGATTGGGGGTTGTATACTTTTATATAATTCATCCTTTTACTTGATTCACCATAAAATGCATTGCTTTATATTCCAAGTTGTGAAGTAGTGTATGGGTTTGGTCAAATGTGATTCATTCTACCCGAGCATCATTGTACATAATTCGTTTTTTTTTATTAATCACAGTCTAATACATGAGAATGAATGAAAGATTTTTTATTAAACCAAAATTGTTAAAGAACTTTCGTAAGTTAAAAAAAATCATTATTTTCACTACATATTTTAGAAAATAGCATTTTGCTTAAAGACTAGACTTTTAATCTATATCTGGCAATGGATCAATTTGGAGTCGAATTCAATTTATTTATTAATTGGGTAGAAGATTTTAACCCACCACAATCTATTTATTTAACTGGATAAATGAGTTGTCAATTGGTTGACATGTTTATATAGTTCTCAACCTAACCTACTAAACAAATGGTTTAAACTTGGGTTACCTCATTTAAAATCAAAAGGTAAATAAATTAACAAAAGATTACTTCACTTAAATTAGTTTCACATAAATAAAATTTTAAAATATGACAATAACACAAATTCAATTCACAAATACAAATAAATTATTCAAATGACATTTAAAATGTTTAATTTCAAAGTGATTATAAAGAGTGATCAGTATTGTCGGTACTAAGAAAATAATAACAACTAAGATTGCACTTTTTATAAAAATAAATAATATACAACATTATAATAAATATATCTATAATCTGATTAATATATGATAATATCCTTAGAATTATTATTTTAAATATATATATTAAAGTTAAATACATTGATAAATAGAAAATAAATTGATAATTTTTATCCATCTCAACCTATTTAACTAAATAAATTAGGTGAATTGACCCATTTCACTTAAATGAGTTTAAAATCTTAACCAACCCGCTAATTTTAAATTGGGTTAGCAGTTGAATCGTCAGCTCTAACTTTAATGGATCTTTTTTCTTTTCTTTTTTGCACATCTAAAATTTGGATTTTCCTTCACAAATTTCTTAACTCAACCGATAGAATTCCATGTGCATCAACGAATATTTAGAGAGCCATTTTCTTCAAATAATAAAATTGACGAAATGACAGAAAATAAAACAACATACCACTTGCTTAGTGCACAACCACCCAGTTTCCTTTGAAAGACATACAACCTCCGGCTAATGCCCTAAAGCCGAGATATCCACTAAAGCGTAATATCTACTTTAAATTACCCAAATAAACAAACAATTGAGCATAACAAACAAAAACTAAATAACAAAATATATAAGTATAACGCAAACGTTTTCTTCTACAATAATATAAGAATAACACCATAACAAACAAAAACTAAACATCACACCCTTGCTGCTTTCCGCAACTCGGAAGCCCCATGAGCAAAGTGACACTTGTCACCAAAGGTACAAGACCCCTTTGCAAAATTCTCACACAATTTAGTCTTCTTGTTGCCCACTGATGATGGTGGACCATGGTGTACACCTGGCGGTGGGCCACCACCACCACCAGTTTGCATACTGGCACTCAATATCAACTCACTAACCATCGCACTCGCTTCCTTAATCTGATCAAAAGTCCCCTCAAGTTCAATATTCTTCAAATTCATATCACTCTCATGATCTCGAATTGAAAGTTTGGCCCCGGTTTTCCAACATATCTGCTTCGAATTCACACCGCCTTTTCCAATAATGGTACCGGCAAGAGACGCATCGATGCTGATTTTAGCCGTGGCTGAGGCACCAAAGCCGGCGGCAATCCCTGGCGGTGGTAGTTGTTGTGGTGGTGGTGGAGCTGTGAAGCGGGTGGTGGTGGGTGGAAGGGCGGTTTGGGGGTTGTCGTTAGATGGGGCGATGGGTTTACCGAGCTCCCATTGACCATGGGCAAAGTGACACTTGTCGCCGAATTTACAGCCTTCTGCAGTGTTGTATTTGTTGCAGATTTTGGATTTGGTGGCGGTGTTTTGGGTGGTGGAGGTGGTGGATGAGGCGGAAGTGGAAGTGGGTGGGAGGTTCATCATTTGTGCCACCGCGTTGTAGCCTCCGGGGAAGAAATGGAGGAAGTGACAGTTTTCGCCAAATGGACACCCATCCATGCTGTCAACAAAATCAAGAAATTCAGATTTTGTATGGTTGTTGTAGAATAAATAAATAAATTGGGGATACCCAACACTAAAAGCAGCAATAAAAAATAGAACCTTAAAAGAACACATAAGTGTGTCTTGTCTCCAAAACCAGTGGGAATGTTAGCACAAATAAAAGGAAAAACAAACAAGATTCCTAAAAAAAACAAATATTATGAGAGCTTGTTTGGCCAAAAAAAAATGTCTCACCAATAATGACCAGAACATAAACTTCAACATATTAATAGGTCATGGTTACTTATATATATACTACCTATTATATGTGGATTTAATGTTCAACCTACATATTTATGTCCTTTATTACTATTAGGGATTAGGGATATTCATTTTATTAGGGTTTTGTTCTTTTTTCAAAAAAAAAGTATGATCCAGTATAAACATAAGAATTAAAGATGATATATGATACTTGTATTAGTATATTGTTTGCCAGCCATTTGCTGCATACCAAATGTAATAAAAAGCATACCACCTACAAATGTCACTTCACTAATGAACTTATTTGATATTTAACTGTATACTTGAATTAAGAAATTTTACTTCTGGATAGATTTTTAGGGTGAAGATTTTAACCTGAAAAACTTCATGCAAGGCTTTGATTTGCTTCCCACCAACTTCGATTCTGTTACAATACATTAGGTGTTTTCTTTTAGTTAGATTACACTTGCAATCTTTTGTTTACATACTAGATAGAGGGGGGAAGAGAGAAGTGGGGTGCACTCTTGAATCTTTTGTGATAACTTTCCAAGCCATTAATGATACCTGTTTCTATTTTTCTGTTTTCACAAACAACTTTCTGATTGTTGAACACTTGAAGTTTTAATGAGTTTTATATTAGTTTCCATAACATTGGAATTTCAAAGTGTATAATATTTTCTGTATTTACATGAGGAACAAGGAATATATAACGCTAAAAATCCAAAGTACCTAGTATAAGTACAAAATTGTGCGTCAAGATATGAATAATTAGTGTTTAGATAGGACATAAGTGATAAGGCCGGTTATGAATCAATAACACCCTGTTATCTTGCCGCATGAGCTCATCTTTCACCAGGATCAAAAAAAATTTCACCAGGATCAAAAAATTCTCAAGATCTGTGTCTTAACAATTAAAGGGAAAAAGAGAAAACGAAAAATCCAATAACATTCAATCTCAAACGAAGAGATAAAAACACAAAACTTGATCGCAAAAGCATAAACTAAAGGAATAGAAATACTCGTAGCAAATTTAAGACCTCAGATACAAACTTAGACATAAGGATAGATCAATTAACAAATCAAGTGCAATTGAACAGAAAAAACCAACCTGGCTTGAATTTCTTTGCACCGCCATTGGCTTTAGCTTCAGGCCTCCCTCTCTTACGAGCATCCATAGCTCGACTAACAAATAGAATAAATTGATGTGTTAAATGAAACCTAAAAAGACTGCGAATCAATCGATTCCGAAAACCCCTAGGTCAGGGTTTTTGCGACAAGGAAGAATGGCGTGGTGAAAGGAATCTCCGGGCAAAAGAGGGAATTATATCGCGGACGTAAATTAATGAATTCTTTCTGCTTTTATTTTGGTTTGGAGTCCGCGAACGGTCGCATCCTCCAGGATCCGGAAGTCGGGAACACACGTTTTACCCGTATAAAAGGACAAGAATAACCTTGATGATTAAGTACTTTTTTTAAGTAATTTAAAATTAATAAAATTTTCCTAATAACTAAGGGAAATATTCAGAAAAATCTCAATATTTACAGAAAAATTACACTTTAGTCCTAAGATTTTTTTTTTGAACGAAAAAGTCTTGAAAACCGGCAAAAATTTCAAGTTTGACCCTTTTTGACCGGTTGAAATCGGTACCAAATTAATTTGGGACTATTTTATAAACTAATCCAAAATATTGGGATTTTTCTATAAACAAAAAATATTATGATTTTTCTATAAACAAAAATATTATAACTTTTCTACAAACAGAACCATTATTATTATTATTATTATTATTATTATTATTATTATTATTATTATTATTAATAAAAATACTGTTTTTTGAACTTGTTATTATTAATATTGTTACTAATACATATAAATGCATTAAATGAAAAAATAATATTAATGATATTGTTTAAGGGTGGAGGTGGAGGAGATTGTGATGCTTTTAGCATTGAAATCGTGAATGTCTGCTTGAATATTTTTACTTTGTATATGGTCATTTCATATTTGTCATTATTGTTTTCAATTCATAATATTAATACTTAACAATTTGAAAGAAGTTGCATATTAATAGTTTAAGGTAGTAAGGTTTTTCACTTTGTATATAAAATTGTTTAAGGTAAAAGAATTACTTTCCAAATCCAACAAATACACTACAAACATCTGCATAGGTAACCTATATCAAAATTCAAAAGTATTAATTACAGTATTTTATTAAATAAAAAGTAATACGAGTATCAGTCAAACAGTAAATATGCAACTTTTTTTAAATTGTTAAGTATTATTATTTTGAATTGAAAACAATAACACCAAATGTGAAATGACTATATACAAAGTAAAAATATACAAGTAAACATTCATGATTTCAATACTAAAAGCATCAACATCTCCTCCACCTCCACCCTTAAATAATATCATTAATATTATTTTTTTAATTTAAATGCATTTATATGTATTAGTAACAATATTAATAATAATAAGTTCAAAAATAGTATTCTTGTTTATATTTTAATAACAATAACAATAATAATAATAATAATAATAATAATAATAATAATAATAATAATAATAATAATAAGGGTTCTGTTTGTAGAAAAGTCCTAATATTTTTGTTTACAGAAAAATCCTAATTTTTTTGTTTACAGAAAAGTCTCAATATTTTGGATTAGTTTACGACATAGTCCCAAATTAATTTGGTACCAGTTTCAACCGGTCAAAAAGGATCAAACTGTAAATTTTTTACGGTTTTCGGGACTTTTTCGTTCAAAAATATTTTTTTGGAACTAAAATGTAACTTTTCCATAAATATTAGGACTTTTATGAAGATTTCCCAATAACTAATGGTATGGACCGTACGGTGTAATGCAATTTTTGGGAATATGACTTATCAAAGTAATTAATTTTTCGTTATTTTCACATTTGGGTAACTGTCTCTCTTTTTTTGTACATATTTAGGTAACAAACTTTTTGGAAATGTTTACATATGATCATTATGACCTGCTATAGCAGGTTAAATCCTAGACATGAACGCTTTCAACAAGTTTGTTACCTAGATGTGTACAAAAAAAAATAGTTACCCAGATATGAACAAAACGAAAAGTAAAAATTAAATTACATGAATGGTCCCTGTGGTTTGGGGAATTTGTGGTTTTGGTTGCTAACTTATTTTTTTTAACTTAAATGGTCCATACTGTTTATTTTTGTTGCGTGTTTGGTCCATATCTCACCTAAAAATACTATTATGCCCTTATTAATTAATTTTCTTATCTATGTATTTATTTTTTTACATATTTAAAAAAATTAATAGACCACACATATTTGTATCTCATCGGATGATCCATACTATTTATTTTTTAATTAATTTAATTTTTTAACTCGGATGGTCCATACTACTTAATTTTGTTATGAACTTGGTCTCTGTCTTACCTAAAAAGACTATTGTGCCCTAACTAATTTTTTTTAATTAATTTTCTTATTTATGTATTTATTTTTTATAAAAAAATTAATATACCCCACATATATGTATCTCATCACCGTAAACCTGAAACCACATCTGAGAAATTTAATTTGAGTCTTACAATTCACCATCTCATCTCTGATCCTCCCCATCTTCTATTTCTTTTCCATCTTTAGTAACATCGACGTCTTCACCGTCCTTTTTTTTTGGTATTTCAACTCTGATGAACCAACACCATAACCTACTATCTCTTCATCTTTAGTGGGTAGTGGTGATGATTCGACGGAGTTGAAGGATCGAAAAAAAAATGATGATGAAGACGTCGATATCACTAAAGATGAAAAATAAATAGAAGTCGAGAATGATGAAAGATAGGATGGTGAGGAGATACATATATGTAGGGTCTACTAATTTTTCTTAAACATATAAAGCATAAGTACATAAACAAGAAAATTAATTAAAAAAAAAATTAATAAGAGCACAATAGTCTTTTTAAGTAAGACAGAGACTAAGTTCGTAACAAAATTAAGTAGTAGAGACCATCCGAGTTAAAAAATTAAATTAATTAAAAAAATAAATAGTAGGGATCATCCGAGGAGATACAAATATGTGTGGTCTATTAATTTTTTTAAATATTTAAAAAAATAAATACATAGATAAGAAAATTAATTAACAAAATAAATTAATAAGGCCACAATAGTATTTTTAGGTAAGACGGGGACCAAACGTGCAACAAAAATAAACAGTATAGACCATTTAAGTTAAAAATATAAGTTAGCAACCAAAACCACAAATTCCCCCAAACCACAGGGACTATTCATGTAATTTAATTTTTACTTTTCGTTTTGTTCATAAACTTGTTGAAAGCGTTCACATCTAGGATTTAACCTGCTATAGCAGGTCATAATGGTCATATGTGAACATTTCCAAAAAGTTTGTTACCTAGATATCTAAAAAAAAAAAAAAAAAAAAAAAAAAAAATAGTTACGTGAACATACAAAAAAGTTAATTACCTTGATAAGTCATATTCCGGCAATTTTTTTACCACGCTTAGGTTCAAATTTCATCTTAAAAATAAGTAAATTTTACCTGTTAAAAAAAAACCTATTACAAAATCTTAAAGCAAAAACCTAAAAAGAAATATCCGTAATGCAAAAAATGTTATGTTCACAACGAAATAAGAAATAAAAACAAGTCATTAGTTACCGCAAAATCCCTATGTAGCAATATTCTTATATTTTACAAAAATTCTAATTAATTTTCAACAAAATATATTTTTTAAAATTTTTTGTTGCGATAGAGATTTTCAAACAATATATTTACATCAAAATATTTATATTGCTTAAGAAAAACTTAGATCAATTGATATTTTACAAAAAACAAAAAAAAAAAAAAAAAAAAAAAAAAAAAAAAAACCTGTTATATTGCCAAAATGCATTTCCTTATTTTTTTTGGAAGCGACAAATATAATTAAAGACACCATGATTAGTAAGTAACTAAATCATTCCATCCAACTACCACAATCGTAGAGCTTCTTTACTTACACCAATTATAGGATGTGGATGTAACATTTCGACTCCCAGATATTACATTTATTTATTTATTTTGGGATTTAATGAGTGACTCGGCAAGTTGTGTGTTCGACTCGCCGAGTAGAATTGGATTTGAGCATGCGGGTTAAATAACCGTGTAACTCCCCGACTCTCAGGTAATAATTTTATGGCTTTAATTTTCATAAATTGCAAGGTCTACTCGACGAGTTGTAGCGATGTCATTGGTCCTGTCAGTAATGCTCTAATCCCTTGCTTTGTCGCTCGGCCGTATCTTTTGTTGTGGAGCTCTGGGGCGCCCTTGGTGGGCGCGAGCCTCTTAGAAGGACGCATTTGGCGGATGCTAATCCTTTTGCTAGTGTGCCCTGCCCTTAGGGACGCTGGTGGGCGTTAAGCCCGCTTGACCTGGTCTTCCAGATGCGCTAGCCTTCTGAGCTGGGCACAGCCCTTTCTTGCGGGCTAGGGCACGTTATCAAGTCCCCCAATCCGATAGATGTAGCGTTATTGTGATAGCTACGATGTTCTGGACTTAATTGCTCTATACGTGCATGTTTTCAATTCACCCGCCATTCCGGTTTTTAGTGACGACGTGGCCACTCATCATGGTTGGCGGTTACGTCATCTGTCAGGGATTTTGATTATCCCGCTTTTCCTTTTCTCATATAAGGACACTCATCGTTATATTTTCCTTTTTCTTTATGCTTCCTCGCTTCTGTTCTTCTTTCTTCTAGGGTTCTTTTCCTCTCTTCTTCCATGGCTTATTCATCTGGAACTCTTCATACCGGTGCTTAGTACAAGTATTTGGTGGAGACATACCGCCTTTCTTCAGCAGATGGAGTCGAGTTCCCGTCGCCTGGCTCGTCTATTACGTCTCCTCCTCCTGGCAAAGTGGGGATTTATCTTAAATCCCTTAACGTCAGGTTACGCCTTCCTCTTACCGATTTCCAGGAAGAGGTCCTGCAAAAAGAAGGTTGTAGCATCCGGATGTTGACTCCCAACACTGTGAACAAGATAGTGGCGTTTGAGATGATTTGCCGCGCTAACGGCGTTCTCCCTGACTATTTTGTCTTTAAATTCTTCTTTAGGTTTTGTTGCACTGGTGACAAGTGCACTTTTTTCGTCCAGCAAGGGGGGCATACCTTAGTTCCCGATGGAAAGACCCCCAAGAACTGGCAAGACAAGTGGTTATGGGTGAATCACGGTTTGGCAGGCAGCAGACGGTACCGTGCTAACTCCTTCGCCGATCTCACTCCCAAATTGTTTCCGCACAACCAAAGTGTCGCCGATCTTCTAAAGAACATCCAGGTTTCTTCCACTGTTGCTGAAAAAACTTGTTAGGATTTGAGATCTCACAGAACAAAAGCATAAGAGTAAACAAAGATCTTAATTTAGCAGCGGTAGCCCATGAAGCAGCCTCTTCAATTGCATTGAACAATTCATTTTCATCTCCAAGCAATCCAAGTTTCTCACATGCACTTCGAAATGTTGGAAGTAATTCACCACCTACGGTTCTTATGTCCTTGAAGGAATGACAACCTTTTTGATGTGAAAGCATCATTCAGAGGTAAAACATCTCACCAGCGGATGGATGGATGTATATTAGTCGACCTATAGATGGTGTTCTGTCCGTGACTCTACGTTTCCAATGTTTTCTGTTTTGAACTCATCGGTATTAAGAAAGGTAATCAACATAGCGTAGATCGCGTCCACTGGTGTCAATCTTACTATTTGCAAGTCATTCCGGTAAACTAGTGGCTTTTGCATATGGATTAGAGACGACATTGTCAAGCTGTTCATTGTCTCTGAATGTGATGTTTTGCATGTTTTCCAGATGAACAACACGGACCTTAAAAAGCCAATGTAGGTGATCAGGTAATGGTGTTAAATTTGTAAGCAGGTATTGTGGTTTTAGATAAAGTACCTGCACGAGAGGATTTCAGTAATGTATTACGAAATCAAAAATTCTCCATGATGCTTCATGAGGACAGATAAATCTACTATTTACAAAGTTTTTGATTTCGTCCATTTCAGTAGGAGCATTTTTTCCAATATCAGCAATGGTAGAGGGATTTTTTGTAATAGCGAATTTTATACGATCATCTCCTTTTGATATGTATTTAAAGAGGTACTTTACTAGCATATTCCACCCATAGTATTCGACGTTTATATGGGCATGAAAATGCAGCAACAAAGCTCGATTGTAGGGCACAACGTAACTATTATCTAAGAAAATTCCATTCTTTTGGACAAAGTGAGAAGTTCGACGTCTCTTGTAACACGTGTAACCATTTTTGTCAAATGTAGATACCATTTGATATTCCTTTGGGAATTTTTTTTGAGCATGATCCTGTAGACATGCATGGGGCGTCATCTTTTGCAATTCCGCAAGGTACATGCATCATAGATTCAGTTACTATCCTATACAAAACTGGGTCAGCAATTGGATCTGGAATCCACGCGGATATGTATTCATCCAGTTGGTTGGCATCTTTTATCTTGTTTGGGTGATGAATTAATAATAAGATATGGCAGTGAGGAAGACCTTTTGGAACTCTATTGTGTATATATAGATCTACATTAGGAAAAAAAATTATATTTGAAAATGCAAATTACTGGTATAAACCAAATCATTGGTGTCATCTGGTAAGCAATAAATATATTACCTGCTGAAACTTTTCCAAATGGTTTCTGCATTTTGAGAAAGTTAGTGAAGGAAAGCAATTTCATGTGAAAGACCCTTGTTATAATATTGGGACGATCTTCGGCTTTTAACGTTGGAAATCTATCCATGTATCTACAAATTTCTGGCCATTTGACATTACATGTAAATGTAATTAAATACTGTGAATTTCCATGAATTCTACATATTGCCAATGCATCTTGATAATGTTTATACATATAGAGAGAGGACCGCTAGTAAATGTTGATGGCAAGAAATTCGTTTTCCTATGTCTTTCCCCTTACTATCACCACACATTACCGCATCATGTATACCCTGAAGGAATTCATTCCGAATGGCATTTTGATTATATCGAAAATAATTAAGTCTATCTTGTTCTATGCAAGCATACGCATCAACCATGTATTGTTGAAAGAGGCGGCCGCCTCTTAGGATCAAAGTATACAAATTAAGTCGGTCATGTAATTGGTAGCTATAGAACATGTTCATTGTTATTTTTCTTATCTTTCGCTAGCTTGTCACCAGTTAGGCGTAGTTTATCAGACCAACCGCTTTCACCATGTATAAACAATAGAGGATATTGCAAGGGCATGTACAGAGGATGTAGAGTGTTTATTTGTTGAGGTCCATTGACCCTGTAACGTATGACAATGTAGTAACCATCAAACTCGGGATCTAAGTCACTCAAAATTGCACCTATACAGCCTGGAGTAGGATTACCATAACGCGAAGAGTTATAGGAATTGTATAGACAATTTGAAAAAGTCAGTATATTAGAAGAACGACAAAGGTCACGTGCATTCCTGAAAAGTCCAGTTTATTAGTATTGTCAAGAATTTAAATAAGTAGAGTGCCAATGTCAGAGTTTAAGGGTGTTCGGTTTTCATTAGAAAAGAAGCTCATTTTATTAGACACCTCGTTTTCAGTGTCGTATATATACATTTGCAAGAACCGGAGGTGTTCATTAGGCAGAGGACAATACGAACCAAGCCAATGATAAACCCGACCTTCAATTTTGAAAATGTATGGACCAGAGCCAATGCTTATAGACTCATCAACTTTTCCACCAAAAGATGTCATCGCGAACATACTGTTGTAAGCACGTATATCGGCAAGAAATTCAGGTTGATCAAATAAAGTCACCAACGATGGAGGAGGAATCATAGAAAATGGAAGTTTGACCTGGCCATTTTTGCAACAATTATTATACCGTGCTCGATTGGATGACAATGCACTCACATGCTCATCGTACCAAAATAAGGCATAACAATGCTCACAAACATAGGTATAGTCACTATTGTCTATGTATAAAGAATCAATAAGATGGTTGTTAGACGATGCAATATGTTCATCGAGTGTATAACGTCTCTTTCGGGATGAAGGCATAGATAAGATAGTTATTAAAAGAAAGTGTTTGTTGGACTGAAATTAGATTAAGACACTAATACATGATAAAGTAAATAATAAATTGTTAAATAACTGAAAATACAAAAAATAAACCTTTAAGCGAATTGTTTACTACACCATACAACAAGTAAACAACAACAGGGTACCTACGGAAAATAGAATAGCAAAACCAAAAAATAAGAAGCATGTTATGGGTGTTTACATTAAGAAAGAAAAAATGTTAAGTGACCTGTAAAGGAAATTCTCTATGCCGATTTCTTAGTTTCTTGAGTGTATCATAACAGTTTTTATTAGCTTTTTTCATATAAGTTTTATAAACAAAGGGCATTAAATGAAACTGGGTTGATAGTATTTTACCTATAACTTTTACCATAGTAAAAACTATGATTTGGAGCGCACACTTTCAAAAGCTATATCTTACAGAGGTAAAAAGTTTGTACTTTTTTAATCAGAATTGGTGCCCCTTTATGAATAGTAGAACCTGAAAAACCTTAGGTCTCTTATAGGGGAAGAAACATTTTTTTGGACGAAACACAAAAATATCATAATATGGGGTATATAGACAACAATATATGTATTAATTTTGAGAACATGAAGATGACGTCGATAATAAACTTTTTTATACTTTTAGAATGGATCCAAAAGTGATTTTTTGTTTGTCAGTGATAAATACGGTATGAACCAAAGAAAAAAGCGATAAGCCAATTATAATCAAACAAAATAACATCAGAATAGGAAGATGCCGACAACAATCTATCTATTAGTTTCCATAACAGAAGGATGACGAAAGAAGAAAGTGATAAACATGGTATTAACTAAAAGTTAACTTTTTATACTTTTAGAATCGATACAAAAAAGATTTTTTTTTTTGTCAGTGATAAATAATAAGGTATAAACGAAGAAGAAAGTGATAAGTCAATAATCCAAATAGGAAAAAATACATATGCAGTAAAATCGAGGAAATGTAAACGGATTGGTGAACTTCGATAGCTTCGTAAATAGGGCATAAAGAAAGACATTATAAGTAAAATTATGCAACAGATGCATAAAAGAATGGATGTTACCTCGTCAAACAGTTGGAATGGTAAAGGAAAAGTGCAGGTAGAATACGTCGATGATTGAAAAAAAAGAAGGAAGAAATTTTTACTTGTGGAGACAAAGATAAGAAGTAACAACGGTCCAATAGAAAGAAAATGAAATAAAAAATTAAAGAACATTTCGTATAAGGATTAGAGCATCTCCGATGGTTAAGTCATATTATCATTTAAAGGTGTTGTCACATCATCATTATAATAAATTAACCTATAATTAAATAACCACTCCAATGGTTAATCTTCTCACATAGTTTCTTTTATAAAATTTCAACTAATTTATCCATATCTATCTAAAATGTTCTATAAAACCCCCTTATTTAACTATTCTTCACTTAAACACACGTATTTTAATTTTATAAAAAACATTATAATAAATTGTTTCAAAATAAGTATATTACAAAATAGCGTTCAGAAAAATTAATACGTAAAAAACTATTACGGAATAGTGATAAAAAACATTGAAAAAAAAACATATAATCATTATAATTTTATATTCCATATATGAAATGTCCTTAGATATTTAATATAAATAATTAATTAGTAAATAGATAAAAAATATTTAAAACTAAAATATATTTAGGAAGGTAAAATGAAATATAGCTAAAGTATGAGGATGTTAAATGACAAAATATAGAAGTATATTGACACCTCAATATATATATATATATATATATATATATATATATATATATATATATATATATATATATATATATATATATATATATATATATATATATATCATGGTTGCAGAAACCGCTAATCGGCCGTTAATCGGTGGACTAGAGATTTAGGATTAATCGGCTAGGCGAGGATTAATCGGGGACCATTAATTCTTAAGAAAATTATTAAAAAATTTATAAATCTAACTTTAATTCTCCAAAAAAAGTGATTAATCGGCGATTAGGTCCGATTAAGTCCGATTAGGTCCGATTTTGACCTGCATTGACCAAACCCGATTAGGTCCGATTAGGTTCGATTAGGCCCGATTAATTCCGAATTTGACCTGCATTGACCAAGCCCGATTATAGTGACCGATTAGCAATAAATCTCATCGGTGGAGGTCCAATTAGCGATTAATCGGCCGATTTCTACAACACTGATATATATATATATATATATATATATATATATATATATATATATATATATATATATATATATATATATATATATATATATATATATATATTGAGTGGTCAATAAAAAAAAAGCAAATAAGCTGCTCCAATGATAATAAACTATAAAAAAAACAAAGATAAATACTAATAAGTTATAAATAAGTCATCATTGGAGATGCTCTTAGAATGAAAAGATTGGAAATGAAAAATAGAAAAAGTAAAAGGTAGAGAAAAGAAAAAAGAAGGAAACCGACATTTGTATTAAGAATATATATAATGTTCTTAATTCGTTTTCAAGTTAAATTGATTTCACATTTTTGTTGTCTCGAAACAGATTTTTGAGGTTTATCTAGATTGTTTGGGTAGTGACATTACTATTTTATTTCATATGAAGTAGAGATTAGGATGAACTTTAGATCAAGAGTTTACAATAAAATTGATTTTCGTCAATTTTAAGCCAGTTGGTCTTGTTGCTTGAGCATCCATGGAGGCATCAACATTATCTATTGTGCCAAATTTCATGCAATGTGTCTCAAACACTTCTCATCGGGTGTCATAATTTAGTCAGTCAAGATCAAGGATAAAGGGAATGAAAGCTTTGATTTTGGTTTATGTAGTATGGTTTTTTAGAGGGTGGAGGGGTGGAAGAGACCATCTTCATTGTCCATGGTGATCATTGATAATCAGAAAGAATATGGAAGGAGGTGTAGATAGATATCGTGACACAAAGAAGAGAGAGTGAAAGAGTACGAGTTATGTATTTTGCTCTAATACCCCACGGAACAATATTTTCCCATAAACTAAAGATATATTAATGGTAATTATATACAAATTACAATAAGGTTTAATGGGCTATGGCCACAAAGTGGGTAACAATATACATACACAGGGTCGGCTTAATGCAATGTAAATCAAAGTTAGGGCTTAGGGCCCCACATCAAGAGGGCCCCACAAACCAAGGAGTCCATGTATTATATCCCTAATCGGCTAAGGCTCTAAACAACTAAAAAAACGACGTTTCTTCTTCCAAAGTTCCACTGCATACGATTTATGTGTTTGCGTCCCTAATCCCTCATCGCCTGCTCTGTTGATCTGCATTCTCCAATCTCCATAAACGGTAATAAACTAGTTCTTCCAAGTTTCATGATCTATCTGTTCTCCTTCTAATCTTGTTAACTTGTTTTCATGTCATATGATATATTGATATTGATTGTATATTTGTATTGTAGACTACAGACTTGTTAGGGTTAATACTTATTACTTAATGAAAGGATACATGTGGAATGTAATTAAATTAATAAATGGGGTTTAATTTTAAATTTTTGTTTATACAGTATAATATATTATAGAACATTTGGGTAAATCGGCCTTAATTATTATGACAATAACAAGAATACATATGGCATGTGTCACACCCCTAAACCAGAACGACGGAATTGTTCGAGGGCGGATGACTTCATGTAGTATCACAACAATTGAATACATAGTAAAGAAACTAATACAACCATCATATATAATATTTAAAAGTTTACATTGTTGAAAGGTACTTGTTTCAAAAACAAATTACAATATGATGTCAAAATTAAATTAAGCTAACGCAGCAGCGTCCCTTCTTCAAAAGCTGTAGTTTACCTGTATTACTGAATCCTTGAGAAATACAAGTGGTTTTGAAAGAGTAGATCAACATTTAAGTTGTTGAGTTCATAAGTATTTAGTGACAATGTTTATATGAAATAGAATGAAAATGGTTTGTACATGTTTAAAAAGTTCCTAGAAAATCTCATATTTTCTACTATAGTAGATGGTAGTCTGATTGTTCCAAAATTGTAATGCAATAGTGCTTTTCATGCTTAAAATAGTAGGTTTATGTATAAATTGTTTAAGGCATTTGAAAAACCTCGTAAATCAATGTGTTTTTAATACTCCATGTGAGTCTTATAACCATACTATTTAACCAGGATGCCTATAACAACGTTCTTCAGGCGTTGGAAAGTTATGACGTTTATCACCCCAAGTCTGCCGGCCTAGCTGTAGTTAACAACTTAGGTGTGGGATTGTCAATCCCGTATAGATCTGTACACAAGTATCACACTCCCCCTACCAGGGATTATGGTATATAATACAGGACTTAAAATGCATACTCGAAAGTACGTAAAATGTCTCACAAAACTTAGTATAAAACAGATTTACGTATGAAAATGTCCATTTGTTCTTGTGTATGAAAATATCTCTTTGATATAGTGTTTCTAGTATGTAAATGTTCATGATTTTCTCGTAAACCATACCTATTATAGTTTTTCAAGTGTGTGTTTCGTTCATATAGTAAACCCTAGTGTAATGCTCACTTGTTATGTAAATTATAACATTTAAAGTGACATAAATGATCACATATACGTAGAGTATAAATAAAGTGTTTGATTCGTATATATATATATATATATATATATATATATATATATATATAAACATGTTCTATTTCCAAAAGACAAGATGTTACCAAGAATATTTATTGCATACAAAAGTTCTCATGTAGTAGTTATCAATCACATATGATTACTAGATAAAAAGTTTATATAGTGAAACTTTAGGCTACACACGATAATACCCGTGTGTTTACTTGTATCCCCCCCCCCCCCTCTCAAAAGTGTATAAAAAGCATTTATCAAACATTTAAAAGCGTAGTTTATAGGGGTATGAACTCACTTGATAGATCGAAGAAGGTGAGATGAAAAGCGATCAGAACTTTGACTTGAGAAAGCGGATTTTCTCGGAAATCTCGGGAGCGTAAACTTCCTTCGGGGCTTGGGTATGGAAACCGGGGCTTCAGGATATTATTTGCATGCAAAAGGAAGTAAAAACGCAAGAAAAATGAGAGAAAATGAGCAATTTACCCGGAACCCTCGCATCCCTTTTATAGGGGCTGGGAACCGCCTCGGTACGCTGGGCGTACCCGTGCGTCATGCGTGACCGCATCCTCGACTGCTGGAACTTCGGACGGGACAAGACATAGGGGAGTAGAGGGGCGACGTGGACGTTCCGAGGCCTAGTCCTCGAGTGCGCTGGGCGTACAAGGGTATGCTGGGCGTAACTCGGATTGGCCCGGTGACTCCTCCTTCGGATAATACCGAATTTTTATTTAAATTTATATTTTAATTATTTAGTAAACTTCAAAAATTCATATCTTCTTCATACGAACTCCGGTTTCGACGTTCTTTATATCCACGCATAGGTGAGACTACGCTCTACAACTTTTGTTTAGACTCCGTCGGAAAATTTTGAAATTATTTTTATTATTTATTTTTAAAAGGTCGGGGTAGGAAAAGTTCGTTAGAAATCCATAACTTCTTTATCCGATGTCTGTTTTTTCCAGACTTTTTACCGTTGAAATACCATTGTCGAGACCTTCGATTCTCATTTAGGTCATTCCGGTCAAAAGTCGCTCGCTCTCTGTTTCGAGTTTTTAACTGTCTACCGCTATACCGAACTTGGAAAAATCATAACTTTCTCATACGAAATCAGATTTGGACGTTCTTTTTATGTACGCTCATGGTTTAATAATATCTAACATAGTAGGTAACCAAATAAAGACTTTTGTACATTTTATTTTCAAAGTTAATTTCATTATTTTCAAAAGTGGTTACAATACTTGGCTTTGTAGGTCATTACATAGAATCGAAATATCGGGTTGTCACAGCATGTACACAATAACAAGATAATTTAAGAACTTTTTTATTATGACAATGTATTTTTACATCAAATAACCACCTTAATTAGGTGAAGTATTGACGCCATTTAAAGCAAGAGAAGACAATATCTTAGATTTACATAAATAATATTTTTAGATTTAATTATAATTCGATGATCAAACTGTTGTAACTCACATCTATGAAAATTTAACCATAGGGTTAATGAAACCAAAAACTATATATTTTATTTGTTTGTGGATCACGGCTGTGATTTTTTAAATGTCAACTAACTAACCTTTACTTCTCAAAGTTGATAGTAATATCAAAGGGTCCAAAAATTTTGGTTCGCTTAAAGCCCCAAATTGATTGAGCTATACATACATACATATCTCCATAGACTAACAATGTCAACTATTTGGGTATGCTTAAATCTTCCTTGCTTTTATGCATCGCTCCTTTTTCGTAGAATTAAACAGTAGCAATCAAGAGGAAGACACTCTATGTGTGGAAAAAAAAAATAAACGAGGGTTAAAAACTTCATGCACCTATACCAAAGAAAAAAAAAAGTTATTGTGTTTGCCATACTTTTATATCCAATTTAAATTATTTTATTTGTTGGTATGGCCAACCAAAAAAAATATTGAAACGAGCTTGGGCCTAGGCAGGCTAGGTCTTTCATACCAGCCCATGGGTCGGTTCACTTTGCCCCGTTTTATCATCTCTAAAAGTTTTTATGAAACGTAAACGTAATCAATGATCAGGAATTTAGTCGTTTAGGATTAAAACATGTTTCTCGTTTCGGACCCCGTCGCTCTTGGACATTTACAGCTTGCCATTTTCGCAAACACTTTGAAAGCAATACGCTGCACAGACGAAGTGGTCTTTCATCCCCTTGTTGGAGTTCGATCGAGTTTAAGCTTATCTAAAAAGCAATTCTTCAGGTCACTCTCTCACCTAGTTTTATTACAGTAACTGTCTCGATTTCATTGATTTCAAATTGAAACCGGATGCGCGACAAAGAGTCGAAACTGTTATCCTGAGTTGATAGAACCAACTAAGTTGAAAAACAACCAAATCAGAATAGCATAGTTAAGCGAGTTCGAGGATTTGACTTTGTCCTCGATGAATTTGTTAAGCACAATTTACGAAGTTTAAGGATAAATGCAAGTATAAGGAATTGATATGAACACATTTAGTCATTCTACACCAATTTTCGGGGGAACAAGTTGTCTGTTTAGCATTTTCTTCTTTATGTGGCTTATGTTATCCATGATTGCTGACACCAACCGAATCTCCTTGGATGGATTGTAGCTGTCTTTTTCTTTCCATAAACTTCCCTTTCATAGCTTGAAAGTAATAAACAAATTTGAAATTTTTTCCCCTTTTGTTCTTTCTTGTTGTCTTACTTCTCTTGGTTAGGTTTCCAATCTGGTATATATCAATCCAACACAACAAATACAATTGGTAACGTGAAGCTGTTTCTTATGCTGCCATATCGGTATCATTCCAAGCATCTTTCAATTTTAATCAATATCACCTAAATATTTTGTTCGGATGCCTATGGGTGTCGGTTTCTTTTTTTTAGATATGAAAAGAGACATGCATACAATGACAATGCTTCCAAAATCTCTAAATATGGCAAAATCTAACAGAAAAAAAAAATAAATAAAAATAAAAAAAGCGGAAACTTCCAAACAACTCATGATACTATGTATATATAGCCAACTTGTGTGCCTCACATTTTTCATCTCATTAGGTGTAGCTCGTCCAAGAAAAGTCAACAAACAGCAGCAACAATGATGAACAACATGCAATCCCAATCCACAGAGAGGTTAGAATGATTTTTGAATAACTTCATCAGATCTTTCAAGATCCGATTTTTTTTTTAATCTTGTGTTTTCTGATTGGTTTTTAGGTATGCGGTTGTGACTGGAGCAAACAAGGGTATTGGGTTTGAGACTGTTAGACAGCTGGCAGCTGGCGGTGACAGTCGTGTTGACAGCTAGGAATGAGAAGAGGGGTACAGAGGCCATGTCATTGCTCCATGAGCATGGTTTTCCAAACGTACTATTCCATCAGCTCGATGTACAAGACCTTCAAAGCATAGAAGGTTTGGCCAATTTCATACAAACACGATTTGGGAAACTCGATATCTTGGTAATTACAAGACTTTGGAGAAACTTAAAGCCACTCTTTTATGACCAGAATTTTCCTAATTTTTGTTTTGTTTAAAACTAAAAAGGTGAATAATGCTGGAGCTTCTGGAGTTGTGGTGGATGAAGAAGGTCTAAGGGCTCTGAATATAGATCCAGCATCTTGGGTAAGCAAATTACATAATTGTCCTCTCCTCTTAGTTTTATGATCTAATAAAATCCAACTTGGTTGTAGCTATCTGGCAAGGCCACGGACATGGTTCAAGGGGTGATTAAAACAACCTATGAAAAGGCGAAAGAATGTCTTGACACAAACTATTATGGTGTCAAGAATCTTACACGGGCACTCCTTCCACTCCTACAACGTTCCACTTCCGGGGGTAGAATCGTAAATGTCTCTTCCATACGAGGTGAATTATGGGTAAGAGGTTGTTTCTTTTTGACTTATTGATGAGCTTCTGTTAATCACTTAACCTGGGCATCTATATATAGTTGTGTATTTTTTACTTAATATGGACAAAATGACTTAATGAGTTGAGCCAAAAAAAAAAAGACTTGCTTAATGTATTAAGACACCAACCCTTTAAACTCCTACCAAGTTAATGTTGATGACTATTGTAAAAAAAAATTGAAATATAAGGGTCAAGTGCTAATTTTATTTTATTCGAACAGTATTTGGTATAGAAAAGAAACAAACAAACTTTATCCAGGGAAACATCATTACCCATACATTTTTTTAATGAGAAAAACAAAGACACTTGTATATGTAGTTTTGAGTATTTGGTGTTATAGTATGTTGTGTGTAATTATTATGTATGTAGAGGATTCCGGATGAAGAACTAAGAAAGGAACTCGCAGATGTAGAGAATTTGAGTGAAGAGAAGATCGACGGATTTGTGGAGAAGTTTTTAGATGATTTGAGGAACGATGAACTTGAAGTCAAAGGATGGTCAAAGATGTTACCAGCTTACAGTGTGTCAAAAGCTATGCTTAATGCGTACACACGAGTTGTTGCAAAGACACACCTGAATATGTGCATTAATTGTGTGCATCCGGGATATGTCGACACTGACTTGAACTGGCACACGGGTACAATGACATTGGAAGAGGGAGCACAAGGCTCAGTTATGTTGGCTCTTTTACCCCAAGGTGGTCCCACCGGTTGCTATTTTGATCGTACACAAGTTGCTCAATTTTGACCCTCTTGTTTCTTGTATCTATTAATTTTATCTTGGTTTTTCCTTTTTCTTTGCTGGACTAGTCTATGAAAAACCAGACACATTATCAAGAATTTTACTTCATGTAATAACCAACCTCACAGGGTTAGTATCACCAAGTCACCAACTATTATGGATGTTTTGAAATTGATCCAAGTTAACCTTTTGTGAGACAAACAATGTGTGCATATATCTACCATGCCCTTATCCTATATATATGGGATGAAATTGATTTTGATTATATTACAAATGAAAAATAAAAAAATAAAAATACTTCGAGTTGATACATTTAAAAGATTATGCACATAAGTGGGAGTTGATTGGTATTTGGTGTAAATGCTGATATGGAAATTTGAAATTATTTTATTATGGCTTCCGTTGACATAGAAAGCTAATCATGAATGATGAACATGAACCCCAAGGAAGGCCAGAGTTTTGGATGTGTTAGTAGTATGTGCACTCTACTTCTTCTTCTATAGTAATAGTACTACCCTTCCTTTTTTGCCTATACAAACCAAAATCTCGTGCCAACAAATACAAAAACTCTAGTATTCTTTTTTTTTTTTTTTGTTAAGTTAAGAGAGAGATTTACACTACACGTTGAAAGAGAAACTAAATGATATCCACATACTCCTCCGCCTGGTTATCACCTGGTCCTCTAGGCATTCCTGGACCATCAGATCTTCCATACATGTACCGCTCATCCCCACCTGATTTTGATTTTAATTTTTAATATTAATTATCAAAGATAATATAATTATAATTATAATATGATTTATTTATTACCACTATCACTGTCGGATGCATCTGCAAGCTTTGCAATCACATCAATCAATGCTCGTTCATGTTCCTACACAAATCCAAAAATATATCAACCTACTGTCTACTTGCTACAATCAAGGAGATCATTCCTTCCTACTATTTTGTTAATTTTCATTGCTTAGTAATGGAGGGTGTTTTTTCTCCATTCCACATGAAATAGAAGTAAAAATTATTTGTTGAATTAATGAGCTTTTATTATGTTTATTTTTTTTTTATGGGAAGGTTTTCATGTCATGTCGTACCTTGAGCATTTTCTTTGCTTTTTCTATCTCAAGCAGATCCGGATGACTAGCATCAAACACCTTTTCCACCTGCCAAGATTTAATAAAGATTCAGAGAAGAATAAAAAGAAAAATTATAGCCTAATTACAGAAAAGATTACTATTAGAAGCAAATCACCTCTTTTAAAAGAGTATCAGTGTGAAGTATTTCTATTTCATCTGAAGCTTTGGTGTCACCATTTTGCAAGGGTGGGTTTGGGTAGCCTTTTCTAGATTGTTCCTTTGAGTTCCCTCTACCCCTTCCAAATCCATGTCCTGGCCCACCATGAGTAACTTGATGAGAACCCTGCTCCTCACCTATCCATTGAATATCCTCTGGTGGAATCTGGGATTTTAAGGTTTAATACTTTACTTTACAAATTACAACCACAACATGTTATGTACTTTATAAATGATGCTGAAAATCTACCTCCTTCAGATTAACCCATTCAAAGCTTTCCTGTGGTGTATTCTTATTATAAAGGAGTGCATGTCGTCCCTGCCAAGTTTAAATATATTAACATTGGTAAAAAAAAAAAAAACATCTTTTACAGTAACAAAGTCAACACCTGTACAGGGTTGTAGTCAACTATGACAGCCTCATAGAAGTTATTGTCATCAGGCCATCTAGTTCTTAATTTCCTTCCAATTAACTGATCCCTTGTAGTACCCACAACCACATCACTTGCTTCATTTGGTATACCAATAGTAGAAGATCCATGATTTGAAAGCATTCCCCTTGGAGTTCTCCCCATTAAAGGGTATCTTGGGGACTTCATTCACAAATCACATTCAAGATTCAATATTTTATTTCTTAATTAAAACTAATAAAACAATAATATTTACTTAGGGGCTGTTTCTTTTTTACTTACTGCCCTGGGTAAAGCACTTAATCTATACATGGTTGTTTCTTTTTTTTTGACTTAAAAAACCTGGCTTAATGTATTAAGACACCAACCTTTTACCTATTTTCCCTTCTTTTTACCTACCAACTCCTCTCACATTAATATCATTGAATATTGTGAAATTTGTTTTCTGGAATATAAGGGTAAAACAGTCATTTAGTCTCATTCAGCCCCTTTATTCATTCTACACAAGAAACAGACCTTATGCATACAAAACTTCACCCATATAGGACTTAATGGGGGTAAAAAAACAAAACAGCCCCTTAATATCAAATCCAGAATTGAATTATAAATGTACTCACGGATTTAGGGGTTTGGATTCCAGCTCCTAATCCGGGAAACGATTGTGTGGGTAAAGACAGGGGCAAAGTCGTCTTTTGCCTTTTCCGAGATGCTGAAATGGTTGGACTGAGTGAAATAGGGTCGTGGATAGATTGGGGAATGTTGAGCATTGTGGTACGTGTCCCTCCTGATGTCCTCCACTCCCTGATTCTTATAATGATGTCATCTGTATTTACCTTGGAGAGTAGTTCTCTATGTTCATCATCAGAAACTCGCAGCTCTTTCCGAAGTTCAGTTATTAATCCTTCCTTCTCCTGAGAGGGCATTTAAGTAAATTCATCAGATCCATCACAAATCAAGCCTGGGATATAGAGTTGTAGAAAGGTTTAAATCATACCCATGAAAGCGCATCAGATTGTGCTTTGAAAGCTCGTAGCACTGAACTGTATGCTACTTGCTCAAGGTAATGAATTTGGGACTCCATCTCATGTTGCATCATTGTAAAACTGACAACCCTGTAAAATCTACAAAATTAGTAAACAAATAAAGAAGTTACATTAGATTCTTCTTTCCTCTTTTTAACCCTATTAGGATTTCCTTTCAGCTAATAATCAAAACTGAAGGATTTCAGTCATCCAAGATACCAGAAATCTCTAGTTTGATGTGGACCCTACTTACCTAATACATATGCAACCATCATTCCTTTTGTTTTGTTGGTAAGTAATTGCATGTTCCAATTGATTAACCAGCACGTGTTATATTTAGGAGGTTGGAAATGGATCTGTATTTATTAAAGATCCACACAAGAAAAAGGAACGTGTGGTTTTGATAAGAAAGATAAAGGGTAGGAAAATGTAGTTTTTATTAAAAAATAAATGTTTAGAGGAATGTACTATTCCAGGTATGCAAACAGAATAAACAAGCACTTTTTCCATTTATCCAGCCCATTCAATCCAAACAAATCATCATATTCTGTTTTGTTTGTCCTTTAATAAGTCAAGCCGACAAATATTGTCATCACTCGTCACCACATGAAAGATCACATGCCCCTTATCTCATGTAGGAAAAAAGGAAACATGTATAAGGACACGTTATCTAAGCAACTGTAGAAGAAGATGTGGACCATAAGTCTGTGTTTGTTTTTTTTAAAGTCTGCAGGCTACGCGTAATTCTTAAATGTCTAAAACCAAAATAAACCCAACAATAGTAAGCGCCAAATACCATTGAAGACCTTCATATAGATATACTTGGGCTTGAAATTCAAAGCTTTTATCAGTTCAAACAAGAAATCATGGAAGATTTTAACAACTGTTGAGATTAACAACCAAAATTAATCCATATCTATGCAACATCCAACGGTTAGTACCAAAACCAATCCCAATCTATGCATCATCCCACTGATCATACTAAACAAATGAAAATGCAGTCCATAAAAGTAAAATAATCATATATTAATTCTTTTAACCATATCACGTAGTAACATTAATATTTCTATAGATAAAGATATCATAACCATCAAAATTCATTTTACAAACGATTGGAGCAAACTAAACAACCACAATTGTGAATAAAAAGATTAAAAAAACTTCCGACAACAAGCAAAACCTGCGAAATCAGACCTTTCAAGTATGAACATTGAAGAATTACTCGTTGTTCCCACTTTCTACCAACATAGTAATCAAAATAAGGTATCTGGGAAAGCACCCTGTTTTTTACAAAATCGAAACAAACCTAAGAAGATTTGCAATGTACACGACGATGTGTTTGTATCAGTGTATGTGTGAGAAACTTGGCAGCGGAAGCAAATAGCAAGACTTCCAATCCGTGCCTGGTGGAGAGAGAGAAACACAGCCAGTGGAGAAGAAGAAGGAGGGTGAGGGACGGAGTCAGAGGCAAGGAAACTAAGTAGAAGGTAATTTAGCGGAGCAGATGAAGATGTGTATGTATGCAATGCCAATACATCTTACTTGCAATTTCGTTGTGTTATAATTGCAGCTTATAAATGATTTTTTCCGACTATTAATTGGAGAAGAATGGGCGTTTTCTATCTCGAAACCCTAATTGCAAGCCATAAACATACAAATAGAAGGCAAGAAACCACCTAAAATAAGCTCACCCAGCCTAATTTTGTTATCGTGGTGTATTTACACATGATTAAGCTGTAATATCCCCAATTTCAACCTTTCATTTCAGGTAAACTATAGCTCGAAGCTTGAAAACAATTAAACGAAAGGGTAAACATAACCAAATTCGCATACTATATGTTACATTGAAACCCTAAACAATCTGCAGAACATAATAAAATTGCATCAAATTGGGTGATTACGAACAACTCACCGCTGCAGAAATCAAATCGCAAAGACCAGATCTTCTTCGAGATGGCAAAAGAACCCTAGAAGCCAGAGAAATTGATGCCAAAAATTGCTTCCCGGTCGAAGTGAATCCAATTGGGACGAATACAATCGTACTTCAATGAGAATCTAGTAATGTGAAGAACTAGCCTAGCATTCTGCATGAATTTTGCAGAAAGATGGGATGAGTGAGACAGATTTTGCTTTGACAATGAGGAATAATTGGAAAAATAATGGGGTTTATATAGAGGGACGGAAGCGATTGGATATTGCTGACTACGGAAATGTATATAGCGGACATGAAAGAATTTTCGAATTGGATTTTGTTTGTCGCCGGGGTTCCGTTTCTTTCCGTGAGTTGCATATGACACCCTCCATTTTTTTATCATTATAAAACTTCAGTCCCTATCGTATTATATATATATATATATATATATATATATATATATATATATATATATATATATATATATATATATATATATATATATATATATATATAAAGGTTCAAATGAGAACCAAAAAAGGTTAAGAACCGTAAAAACCTCTAATTTTAGATGTTTATAAATGATTTAGGGTTTAGGTTTTAGGGTGCTTATAAAGGGTTTAGGGTTAAGAGTTTAGGGTTTAGGGTTTAGGGTGTATGGTGTTTATAAAGGGTTTAGGGTGTTTATATAGGGTTTAGGGTTTAGGGTTACCATAAACCCTTTATAAACATCTAAAGTTAGAAGTTCTTACGGTTCTTAACCTTTTTTTGTTCTCATTTGAACCACTCCATATATATATATATATACATATATATATATATATATATATATATATATATATATATATATATATATATATATATAGTGAGAGAGAGAGAGGAGGGTTCAATTGAGAAAAAAAATGTTGAGAATAGGGGAATCATTTTCAGCCAATCATTTATTTTTGCCACAAAAGCCTCTAACGTACCGGCGGAAATGGGAAAGGAATGCACATGTGTTTTCCAACAAAACATATTTCCTTAAACTATGTTAATCGTTACTTTAATATATACAAAAACATAGTTTTTTTTGTTTTTTTTTTAATTTTTAAAAGCTATTTTTATCAAAAAATGATTTTAAATATACCAAAATTCATGATTTTTTATTCTCTACAAATAGACATTCACATTGATATAATATTAAGATAAAATAAAATTTTTATTTTTTTTATATTTTCAGTTATCGTTATTCATAAGTGAATAAAAATGTATCAGATTTTATTACAGTACCTTCGTTATTCACTTATGAATAAAAAGTATGATTTTTTTTACAATAGTATCATTCATATATGAATATAGCATATAATAAACATAGTATATTCATATTTTAATATTGGACTATGCATTCACTTATGAATATTAAAATAATATATTCACTTGTCAATATTAGATGATATATTCACTTGTGAATATTAAATGATATTTCATATGTGAATATTACATAGTATTACATGGTATATCACATGTGAATATTACATAGTATATTCATTCGTGAATATTAAATGATATATTCGTTTATGAATATTACACACTATGTTCACATATGAATATTACAAGGTATATTCACTTGTGAATATATTCACTTATGAATATTTGAAGGTATTTTGACAAATATATATAATTTTTATATGTTATTCACATATGAATAACATACAGACTTGCATATTTGTTAATAATCATATACTGATTCAGGTGAGAAAACATATTCAGATGTGAATATAACGTGGTAATTTGGTTTATGCATTTCATCAAACAGTTGGAGTGCATACAAGTTAACTATTATAAAAATGTTAAAAACATCAAGTTATCAATTCCAAATCATCATATACTTCCGATTTCTACTTCAGATGCGACATCCTATGTCTGATCGATTTCTTATTTTGATTTTGATTTCCGAAAATCTGATTGGGAACCTATGAGTACCAATTCTGAGTCCTTCAATGTCGACTGTGACTGGGAGTCTAGAACTCCGATTCCAATTTCATGAACAACGAAGAAATTCCGGTTTAGTTGAAGAAATCTGGATGATTATTGAAGGTTAGAGTAAATTTTTTGATGATGAATGAACTGTTATCGAATTCTATATAGTTACGTATTTGTGATTGAAGGTTATTAACATATTTACAAGTTTGTCATCGTGTTTTTTTTTTCTTAGATTAAATAAGTGGCTGAGAATGATTCCCCCATTCTCAACCTTTTTTATTTTCTCAATTGAACCCACCTCTCTCTTTCTCTCTCTCTCTATCTCTCTCTCTCTCTCTCTCTCTCTATATATATATATATATATATATATATATATATATATATATATATATATATATATATATATATATATATTCTAATAAAAGAATAGGTTTAATCACATATTGACAAGTGTCATGCAATTAGAACCCCTCATTAATGTTATATATCATTTATCATGCCACTTGTCAACCTATTAATTAATCATTTTAAATTTCAAATTTTAAATTTCTCACTCTAATTTTATTAAATTAATAATTGATTCATCATTTTAAATTTCAAAATTTAAAATGTCTCCCTTTAATTATATTAAATTAATAACATTAGATTAAAAACTAAAATAAAATTAATATAAATTATAAAAGGATATAACTCCACGTATTTATTTAAATCAACGATTATAATTTTATATAACGAAAAAAATATCTCTTAAGTAATAATTTATTTAAAATAATTTAGTAATGATTTTGATTTTTTAATACGAAAGTTTAATTAATTTTATAATCGTGGTTATCACGGGTTATAAACTAATATATATATATATATATATATATATATATATATATATATATATATATATATATATATATATATATATATATATAGGTTGTTCAATTGAGAAAAAAAAGTTGAGAATTGGGGAACCATTCTCAGCCAATCATTTAATAAGCTTAAAAAACGCGTGGTGGCAAACTTGTAAATAATCCAAATACATCAATGAGCGGTAACAAATTTGTAAATAACCCAAAAACATTAAACAGTTATGGCACTTGAGTAATTTCATCACACATCAAATCTCGACAGAAAATCATCATTTCCCTCTTCGATACCCCATAACACAAAAACCATTTGCAGAAACATTCAGTAACACAAAGGATTCTCAACAACAATAAGAGTAAAAATGAAGAAAAATGTCTTCCGATGAAAACATGAACGAAACCATTTCCCCACTCTTGACTATGAAAAGTAACCATCGGCGTTTTTTTGTTCAATTTTTAACGATTTCTAATCATTTCTAAAATTATCACTTGATTACTTGAAATTTTCCATAATTTTCGTTCATTATTACTTGATTTAGAACTAAAAATTTTGTTTTCACATTGTTCATTCTTCAAACTAGGTTGTTTACTTCAAATTTTGTGATAATCATTTATTCTAGTAACCATCCTTCGTTATTACTTGATTTACTTGAAATTTTTGTAAGAATCATCCATTATTAGTTGATATATAAATGATTTTACATCTTCTCTTCATTTTTCATACTTATTCACAACTTTTCTGTCAAAATATAAACGTTACTTCACATTTCTCTTATGTTTTCCTAATATTAACTACTTACCATTACAGAAACAACACCAACAGTGAAGTATACATATAAACGAAAAACAAAAACAAATCAAAAAGGTAAATAAAATAGTTATTCCATTTAGATATGATTAACTTAGATATATTTTGTTTACTTTTGAACACAAGCAAAACTAATATTCAAATATGAATACAACGAAAATGACTTATATATGTTCTATTCACATATGAATAAAACATACAAATTCATATAACACACATATTCGTATGTGAATAAAAAAAAAATGAATATATATGTTTTATTCAAATATTCATTTGTAAATATCAAACTCATTTATTTCTACTCACTATTGAATGAAGATAAGAAGACTAACATTTCCGATAAAGATTCACCAACAATGAGAGAAACAGGATCAATGCAGAAAAATCAAAAAGGTATAAAATACATATCAAATATTTTATATCCCTGCTATAATTTATAAATAACTTGTATATCTCACCTATAATTTTCTTCTATTAACATATGAATAACTTATATATCCCAGCTAATCATATGTGAATGGAAACAAGTATTCATACATTTATGTTGTTTTGTTTTGAAACAACATAAATATGTATACATCTGTTATATATTCATTTATGAATAACTTATATATCCCAGCTATAATTTTCTTCTATTAATATATGAATAATTCAGTCACAATCTAGATATGTTTTATAATATAAAAAAAACTATTGAATTCCTGTATTCATATGATAATAAATGTATATGGCTTGGCTTTGTTTGTATTCAAAAGCTAATCTTTATTGAAACAATTATTCATACATTTATTGTTGTCTTCATTTATTCATTTATGAAAATAAAATATTTTCTTTGTAAAGTGTATTCCAAAATTATTTATATTCTACTCACTAATTCATGAAGGTAAGAAGATTTGTATTTCTGATAAAGATCCCACAACAATGATAGAAACAGATTTGAAGAGGAAAAATGCGAAAGGTACAAAATTCCTATCTTTTTTTTTGAAACGGCAAACTAATTAATCTACTTCTAATTAACCACCTATGTCTCTACTAAGACTTGAACTCCTGACCTCTCATATGAGATGGTCACTCTATATCGCTAGGCCATTAGTCATTTGGTACAAAATTCCTATCATATCTAATATATATGAATAAAATTGTATATACTAGTTATATATTTGTAATAAATAAATATTAATAAATCAACGAGCATATATCATATTCATATATCAATAACTTATTCAAATATTATATGTTTTCATTTACCAGATAAAAAAGAAACAAAAACACCAAAGAAAAGAAAGCATCAAAGCAGAAAAAAGTTCATTAAAAAGGAAAACTCTTGAAAAACGACAACTACATGATTTAGAATATGATTTTGAAAGTAGTCGTCCATCAAAGAAGGCAACAAAAGGAGTCACCAATCAAGAAAGAGAAAAAAAACCAGTGGTAAAGGAATTTTACTATATGAAAAACAGATGTTCACCAGAGGCATTACTATCTATAATCATTGGGTTGAGCAAAAAAACAAAAAGAGTCTGTAAGATCTATGGGTTTTCAAAAATTTGATTTTGAGAGAATGCTGATAGATGTTGAAGGAAAGGAACTGAAAGTAACATCACAGTCTGTTCATGACATGTTGGGCATTCTAATAGTTGGAACCATACTTACACAACTGGATCAATGGCCTAAAGATGATACTAGTTATGATGAATGGAAGCAACAGTTTCAAGAAGGATCAATAATTCGATTGAATGCG